AGGGGAAAAAAGGTCTATAATTTAATATTCCTACTAAGGAAGCCCAAAAAGTTTACAGTTCAACTAGAGGCGAAGTAAGTAAAGCAGGTAGGGGACCATGTTGAGTGCCCATGAAACGACCCTTAGATGGAAGAAGGCCGCATCCCAGACGTGGACTAGGCCACTCGGCGGTTCATGGGTCGTTTAGGGTGTAGGGTTTAGGGTTTAGGGTTTAGGGCTACTTGGAGGTTCATGGGTTGTTATAAGCGGGGGTTTCTCTAGGGTGACTAGAGTTCTAACTGCTTATAACCTTATTTCGGGTACTTATAATAGAACTACCCATGAACCTTCAAGTAATTATATTGCTTAGGGTTCAGGGTCCCAGGGAGTCTTTGAGTATGTGCATCTGATGCTTCAGCAGAGAGGCCACGGTCGGAGAAAGCGCTCGCGCTGCAGTCCCCTGGATATAGGCCTGAGAACTACTACTCGCTTAAGAACATATTCCTCCTCATAAGGATAATATAGGGATTATTATTTTTACAAAATTTAGAAGAAACAACGATCCCTACACGAGGAATATTTTCTATTTTTTTTTTTTGGGGGGGGGGGGTTCTTAAGCAGTTGGTAGAGCAACCACGCCCAAATGCGTGGTGGCAGGGGCGACTTACTTTGGGGCTTACCTCGCGTAACGTTTGCACGCCTAAGGAAAGCAAGGGTCGCTTACTCCAAATTGGCTTGCAGGCCCCACTGAAGATGCTCATAGAGCAAGCAGAACTACGCTCTGGCATTCTGGGGTTTATTAAAGGGTGCCGTGCTAGATAGGGCCCAAAGGAGACCCTCATCTAGAGAACTGCCATATGTTTATCATAAACCCTTGATATCCCATACCATGTTTTGTAGGGCTTGGGGTTGGGCTCAAACGCTTTCTTACAGTGGGTTTTGAGTTCGAGTTCCCGGTCTGAGAACCCACACCAGGGAGAAGAGTAAACCCAAATTAAGGGTTTAGGGCGACCCAACACCCTAAACCGTTCTGCGGAACGGGGTTTTAACGCTCAACCTCCACCAACAGTTTAGGTCAGGTTGGAGCTTGCGTTTTTTGCCACCAGCCGCAGACCGTTCAGGGTTTATAGGGCTTGGATGCAGTCTTCAGAATTGCGGTTTCTGTTCTTGCGTGTAACGCCTCATCTCATCGTAAACCCAGAAACCTGATCACAGGGTTTTGGGGTTTGTGTAAACCCTAAACCCTAAACCCTAAACCCTAAACCTTAAACCCTAAACCCTAAAGCTTTGGGGCTTCGCACATCCGGGGATCAGGATGCAGGCTCTTTTGGGGTCAGGGTCTGAGGCCTTGTTTGTGCAGCGGTCCTTTTTTGGGTTGAGCTGCAGAAGTCCGAAAAGGGTTTAGGGTTTAGGGTTTAGGGTTTTAGGGTTTAGGGTTTAGGGTTTAGGGTTTGGGGTTTAGGGTTTAGGGTTTAGGGTTTAGGGATCAAAACCTGAACCCTGACGGGGCTTCTATAGGGTGTAGGGTTTAAGAAGCTTGGGGGTTTAGGGTGTCCGGGACGAGGAAATCCTCAAGGGAATGACACCATGGATGAGTTTAAGGTGAGTCCACAGAGGGTGCTTGTCGTGTTAGAAGTTCTGTGTCTGATGCCAAAATAGTATAGGACATTGCAGTTCATTACAATATATCATGGCACACTTTTGAAGATGATTGAGCAGCCCCGATTTGAACTCAACCAACCTAGACAAAGTTGCCACCGGCAGCTCCAGAAACCATGAAAGCCTAAAGCCCTAAGCACACCCTGAACCCCTAAGGACCCGAAGCCCTAGAGTTCTGCATTCAGCGCCAATAATAATCCGACAAGTATCAACCCTAAAAGCCTAAAAGCCAAATACATCTTTCCTAAATCCCTTGATAGCCCAGAAAACTTAGTTGCTGAGTTCATAAGAAAATTTTGGCAATCCCCCCAAAAAAACCCAAACCCTGAGCCCTCTAGGGGGCTGGTTACTGGTACAGCCCATCTAGCACCCAAAAGGGCAGAACTGAACTACCGAGATCCCCCTAAACCCTAAACCCTAAACCCTAAACCCTTGGGCCGAGCGCGGGCTGCTGTATCCCTCTTCCAGGCCTCGGACGAAGCACAGGGTGACTTCGGCTTTAATGGGCTTACCTTACTTGGGTCTGGAGTTTCTAGGGTTTCTAGGGTTTAGGGTTGAGGGTTTAGGGTTTAGGGCTACTTGGCGGTTCATGGGAAATTCTACGTGGGGTTATAAGTAGGGCAACTATATCCTGTAACTGGTTATCACCTTACTAACGGTACTTGTGCCCATGAACCTCCAAGTAAGAACCAACAAAACCAACCTACTTTTTGTAGGTTCCCTAAGAACTCTAAAATAAGGGGCTCTATAGGAATAACCTACCAAACAAATGGTAGGTTATGGGCGGTTCTTCAGGTAGGGTTTAGGTTTTGGAGTCTTCTTGGAATCGTAGCAAAAAATATAACTTTTGCTGTTTCTTAGGAACTACAGTACCCAAAAAACAATTGCTCCCAAGAATCTCTGAGTTTCAGGCTTTGCAGGTTTCCAACCGAGAGGCCGCGTGGACAAAATGTCTGGAAGCAATTGCTTTGGCTTTGCCTGTTACGGTGTAGTCATGCACGCCGGGCTTACCCTAAACTCTAACCCTCAACAGGCCCCTAAACCCTAAACCTCTGACCTGTACTTTTTCGGGTCTCCTGTTTGGGGCCGAGACTTCCAAGGTTCTGGGGGGAGGAAGGGGGAGGAGGAGGCCCGATGCTGGCTTGACGTTTTGCAAGCAAGCTCCCGAAATCCTGAGCGAGAAAAGTAGGACTACCCTAAACCCTAAACTACACCTGTGGTTTTGATTCATGACCAAGCTCGAACCCCTGAGCTTGCACGATCTCATCTGAGGCATCCACATTGGTATCATATTTCAGATCTTGGGCAGGGCCTCACAAGACAAAAGGCCACTGCCAGCTGGACCCGCCAGCTGGGTTTGGGTATAGGGTTTAGGTTCAGGGTTTAGGGTTTAGGGTTCAGGGTTCAGGGTTTAGGGTTCAGGGGCCAGCTGAACCCACCATCTGAATGCCCGCAGGTTGATGAAGATGAAGATCCGGCTCCGAACCGGGGTTTTCTTGGAGGTTCATGGTACAAGGGTTTCGGGTTTAGGGTTTAGGGTTTAGGGTTTAGGGTGTACTTAATAACCCAGTTATATCTGTACATATAAGCCAAGTGTAAGCGCATTAGGGCACTTGAGGGGCTTAGAAGGGCATTACTGTGCATACAGATATTGTTGGATTATAGGTAGCATGAACCTCCAAGTAGGGTTTACTCTTAGAAATCCCCGAGCCGCGGCCTACCCCCAAACCCTCTCAACCCCGAAACCCCCAAACCCCAACCCCAAAACACCCAAAATCCCAAACCCCTAAACCCCAAACCCTCAAACTCGCATGTCGAAACCGCTTTCGCCCACCTGGAGTTCCCCCCCTGGCGCCCTGCCGATCTATACAGAGCCACAGCATGCAGAACGGAAACGGCGGATGTGGGTTTAGGGTGAAGGGACTTGGGCGTTCAGGGTTCAGGGTTCAGGGTTTAGGGTTTAGGGTTGAGGGCCAAGGGTTCAGGGTTTAGGACCAAGGGTTTTTTGGGGGGTTCAGGGTTTGGGGCCAAAGGTTTTCTTAAGGCGTTCAGGGTTTAGGGCGAAGGGAGGCTTGGGGGTTTAGGGCTGAGGGATCTTTCGGGTCTAGGGTTTATAGGGCTTTATGTTCAAAGATGTTCAAAGACTTGGGGAGTCTTAGGGTTTAGGGGGAAGGGTTTAGGGTTGCTGCTGGATCAGAGGGGTGTGGAGTTTAGGGCTGTCTATGGCTCAGGGGGGCTCTTTGAGGTTCAGCTCCTAGGGCGTGCGCCTTTTTTTGTGGGCTTAGCTTCTAAAGTTTAGGGTGCGTGTTTAGGGCATTGGGCTCTTCAGGGTTTAGCTTCTGGGGTTGGGGGGGGAGGGGGGGTGGGGGGGTTATAGGGCATGGGGCTCTCTAAGGTTTAGCTTCTAGGTTTATGTAGAGGGCTGAGGGCTGAGGGCTCTAAAAGGTTGAGCTTGTAGGGTTCAGGGTTTAGGGGCGAGGTGCAAAGATGTCTCAAAATCAATGAGATGGCCGCCAACCCCAAGCCCGAAGTAGCCCTAAACCCTAAACCCTCCTAACACGACCCTTAGATCTTCGGCATCGTTACGAAGGGTCCCCAAAGGGGTCCAAGGTAGCGTCCTATGATATTAAAACTAGCTGAGCCCTAAAAGCTCTAAAAGCCTAAAAGGCACCTGAGCCCCGAGCCTTGAACCCGATACTAAACCCTCCTTAGTTTGCCATGTAAAGGGTTTGGGGTTTAGGGTTTAGGGTTTAGGGTTTAGGGTTTAGGGTTTAGGGTTTAGGGTTTAGGGTTTAGGGGGTCTTCAGTCGATCTTTCAGGGTACCTGATCTAAACCCGAAACCCTTTCTTGCATCAGGCGTGTTAGGCACACGCCTGGACTGAAACTGCTCATGTTCACTTGCGCTTGTATGCGCAAAAGCCGCAAAACAAATCCAAAAAACAACTGCACCCCAAACCCGAAACCCTCCTTTCTTTCAGCGCCAGCTTTCTGGACAAGCAACTCGTTGGCCGAGTCTAGGGTGAGACCGGAGGGGCTTCGCACTTTGATAGTTTGATAGCGCGCAGCGCGCCCCCACGCACGATGAAACCCTGGGATTCTAGTAGGGGGTACTCAAGGACTGTTACTATAAGAGGGAACATCCCAACTTACGTTACCAAGCATGCAAACACAAATAGCAACAAAAAAGTAACCCCTAAACCCGGTACCCGAAACGCGGTTTGCCCCCTGTTTCCGCCTTACACCAGGATGGGCTGTTACACCCTCTAACCCCTTGAAGGGGCCCTTTTTTGGGTTGATTATGATAACCCTAAACCCTAAACCCTAAACCCTAAACCCTAAGCCCATCATTTAAAAGCCCGCACTATGCCTCTACACTCGAGATCAGCGCATCCTCCATCATGACCTCCTCTTGATGCTTGGCAAGGTACTGCTGCTCTGCCAGGCCCTGGACCACAACATGCGTTTAGGGTTTAGGGTTTAGGGTTTAGGTGTAGGGTGTAGGGTTTAGGGTTTAGGTGTAGGGTGTAGGGTTTAGGGTTGTTTAGGATTTAGGGTTTAGGGTTTAGGGTTCGGGTTTAGGGTTTAGGGTTTAGGGTTTAGGTCCTTGACCCCAAACCCAGAAGAGCGCCTGCAAGTAGAGCTGGTGCATCTCGGACAAGGCTTTCTCGAGCTCCTGCAGGCCCAACCCTAAACCCTAAACCCTAAACCCTAAACCCTAAACCCTAAACCCTAAACCCCAAGAATAATCATCCTGCCCCAAACTCGGGATGTTCCCCCTTTTCTTTTAGGGATTTAGGGTTTAGGGCTTAGGGTCTACTTATACTAACAGCTCCCTGATAGGGATTCTCATTGGGGGGGGGGGGGGGGGGGGGTACGATGATCCCTATCAAGGACTGCTAGTATAAGGGGGAGCATCTAAGCCTCAAACCCATACCCCTTAAACCCATAAAAAAAGAGAATCTAAAGAAGGATCTACCATACCCCTTACCTTCTTTTAAGTGTCTGCCCCATGTTGCAGATCATATTTCTCAGAAAAGCCAGACACTAAACCCTAAACCCCAAACCCCAAACCCCAAACAAACCCTAAACCCTAAACCCTAAACCCTAAACCCTAAACCCTAAACCAGATTCCACAGAAGCTTAGGGATTTGCCTTTCAGCTCAACCACCGGGCTCATCGTTGGCCGCATGCGTACTGGCTGAGAACATGAGAGCATGGTTGGGTCATTGCCCCTTACAGGCCCTGTAGCTAAACCCTAAACCCCAAAACCCTCAGGCTTAGGGTTTAGGGTTTAGGGTTCAGGGTTCAGGGTTTAGGGTTTAGGGGCCCCGTGTCCAAGTGCGTCCGGTCCTCGACACGCCTTTCGCGCGTCTCCAACGACTCGGCAGGGCAAGGGCAATCGGAAACCCTGTACCTCAAAAAAGAGAACCAACTGCAAACCACATCATTCTTGTGGCCCCTGAGAAGTAGAACCTTATTCCAAACCCTAAACCCGAAACCCTGAACCCTAAACCCTGAACCCTTAAGAATCCTACACCCGAAACCCTTCTTGCCGGAGGACACCCGAAACCCTGATGGGTTGAAGTCAGCTGCTTCTTCCACCAGTAGGTCCCTACTGTAAACCGTCGGCTTGGGGCTTAGGGTTGGGTTTGGGGTTTAGGGGTTTGAGGGTTTCGGGTTTAAGGGTTTAAGGGTTCACTCTTGGGCGGTCCAATCGGGTCATGATCCTAAGGCCGTGAAAGCCCGTAAATCGCCTTTGTTTGAGCCCTGCACAAAAAACCCTAAAAGGCTTTGGGGGCTCGGGTCCTACAATAACCGGAATTTCTTAAAAGGGCATGCTTTTGATGCTTACCTTCTGAGCAAAGGGGAATGTGGCCCGCGGTGGCTCTGGGCTAGGCATTTGCGGGTATACATGGGGCTTCCCGGCATCTGACTGTGGGGTGTAAGCGTTCAGCGCTTTCAGGTGTAGGGTTTCTAGGGCTTACAGGGGTGCCCAATCTGCGGGAAGCTCCGGCTCTTGTAAAGCTTGGGATTAGGGTTTAGGGTTTAGGGTTTAGGTTTTTTTTTCGCCACCCGCCTATTATTTGACCTCACGGCCACTCTGCAGGGAAGGGGATCATCTGGCTATGGTTCGACTGACAGGTCTAGAGAGATGTTGCGACTGGTGGTCTCAGAAAATCAGCCCCCCCGTTCGGTGCAGCTAGGGGGTTTGGGGGGGGGACTGATTTTTCGGGTTTAGGATTCAGGGTTTAGGGTTAAACCCTTCTAACCCAAAACTCTCAACCCAACCTTCCCTTGGGCGCGGGACATGCTGTTTCAAATTGCTGTCGTACTCCCGCACTGCTACAGCTTGCTCCTGCGAGCGCGCAACGCTTGCGCTGCGTTTTCTTGTGGGGGAGGGCTTTGGGTCGAAGAGAGCCACACCTTGGGTTTCAAGCCTGAACCCCTGATCATGTGGAGCAACCAATGAGAATCTAAAGTTTGGGCCCCTTTTTCCTAACGGCCCTAAACGGGGCTAGTGCGCCCTGTGATCATCCCTACTGAGGACTGTTAAGTATAAGGGGGAACATCCCAAGCTGCAGGCTATATGGCGCAAGATGACAATGAAGTAAGTTCAGGCTTACCTGGCAACCCGAGGCCCCTAAACCCTCGGCGTGATCGGGGGTCCTGAAGTGAGGGGGGGTTTCATGGGGGTAGGTACCTAGGGGACCTTAGGGAAGCTTGGGGAGTAATGGGGAGCATTAGGGACCCTTGGGTTACATACCCCCCTTGAACCCCGCTCCCTTAAGAACCCGAAAACACTCTGCCAGCATAGACCCTCAAGCCCCAAATCCCTAAAGTCCCCAACGCCCAAAAAACCCTCAAGCCCCCAAAATTCCGCAACACCATGAAACCCCAAAACCCCCAAAACCCTAAAACTCAGAAACCAAAAACAAACTAACACCCAGAAACCCCTCAGAAAAAAAAAAAAAAAAACACTAGAACCCAGAAACCAAAAAAAAGAAACGAGTCCCGCATGGCGAGCTCCACCCGTGGATCTGTGGGCTGCAAACTGCCAGCCTCCACCTTCGACCCCGCCCTCTTCTTTGCTTAGGGGCTCTGTGTTTCTAGGGTTTAGGGTTTAGAGCTTTCGCTTAGGGGTTCTGTGTTTCTAGGGGTTAGGGTTTAGGGTGTTTGCTTAGGGGGTCTGTGTTTCTTGCAGCTTTTTGCTTTTTGATCGGGTTTGGGGATTTGGGGTTTGGAGGCTTCACGGCTTTACGAATTAGGGTTGGGGGCTTGGGCATAGGATCCTGATTAGTTTTGGGGCTTAGGGTTTAGCATCGCGGGTCTACCTAAAGAAGGGTCCCGGGAGCATCTCGTCTTGAAAGCACAGCTTGCCTATGGAACAAGGCATGGTGTCCAGGCAAGCAACATGACCATCAGCATATTGGGCTACGGATGGCGCTTGCGCACGGCACGCGGACCTACCGTAAGTCATGAGCCTTCAAGTTTAGGTAGGCGGCATGTGTGGGTTGACCTAGGTCATTGCATGGCCCCCTAAACCCTAAACCCTAAACCCTAAAGTCTAACCCTAAACCCTAAACCCTAAACCAAGTTCGCCAGTGACCCTGCTCAGCAGCCGCCCCATCTTGAGAAAACAAGTGTGTCGGCTGAACAAGGGCCCATGATTAGGAGGAACCCTTTTTTGAACCACGAGCTGGGACATGTGCCTGGAAGTGGGACATTATGATCAACCCTAAACCTGAACCCCCTGAAGTCATGTCGGAGGTTGATGACCGCAAGCTTGGGGGTACGCGCTGAGGGATTAGGGTTCATAGGGTAGTTGAGGGGTTAGGGTACCTAGTAACCCAAGCAGAACTGTACTTATAACCGCATTGTGAGAAGTTCAGTTGTGCTTGGGCTATAAGTGCCATGAACCTTCAAGTAGTCTAGGGTTTAGGGTACAGGACCCTAAACCCTAAACCCTAAACCCTAAACCCTAAACCCTAACCCTAAACCCTAAAACCTAAAGCCCTAAAACCCTAAATTTCGCCTCAGGGTTGGAGGGGCTCGGGGCTCCAGGGGCCACGCTGCGATGTTGCTTTGCCTAGCCCATAGCCTACTTGTGGAGGTTCTTTGTTCTAAACCCTAAACCCTAAACCCTAAACCCTTTATACCCGGGGTATCTATATTTTTTAAGGCAACATACAAAAAAGGCTTTGGGTTCTTCAGGTATATGGAGGATCTCCAATTCTTGATGCCCCCCCCCCCCCCCCCCCCGCCCCCCCCGCCACGCTGAACTGTGCTTCCGACCCACATGGAGAGGCGACGGTCGTCCACCGACAGGCTGTAGGGAACAAGCTGGGCTTTGACCTTGTTCAAGGGACCCTAAACCCTAAACCCTAAACTCTAAACCCTAAACCTAAAACCCTCAACCCTAAACCCTAAACCGCCCTTGTAGGGGACCTTCCGGCTACGTTGGGGCCACCTGGGTATAGGAATTATGTTCAGATATGCGTAGGGGCTATATAGGGGAATAAGACGAGGCGTCCCTTCTACGGGTCCCTCCGTATATCCCTGAATTGTTGGGAACAAGTACCCAAAACCCTAAAGACCCTGCGGTTCTGAGTTTGGGGTCGTCTCTGGGGATATCTCCTGCCTAGCTGGGATCAGGCCCAGTGCAGGTCGGATCTTTTGTGGGCAGGTCATTTTCGTATGGCCTTAAACTTATACTGTGATAGAGCATCACATAGAACTAGGTACAGTACTCAAAGAAAAGAATTCTACTTGGGGTTCAGAGATCTTGGCCTGTGAAAAAAGAGGGGAGCAGAACCGGAGACCTCGGCCGTCTGGCCTATTAACTTAGTTGTCCAGTACCTAGGGGTTTTAAAGGTTAACCTTTGGGATTATAAATGGAATATATGAACCCAAAAAGGTTAAAGGTTACCTACTCTACTACTAAGTTAAATCAGCCCATGTAGGAGGGCCCGAGCCCTAAATCCTAAACCCCAAGCCTTTGTTTGTCCAGTCCGGGCGCCGTAGGCTTAGGAAGCCTCACACCTTTGGGGTTTAGGGTTTAGGGTTTAGGGTCTAGGGTTTCACGTCTCAAGGAATAGACGGAATAGGGCTTGAGGTTTGCAGCAGGGCCCGTCCTTAAACTCAACCAGTTTAGACCGCCCGTCTGAAACCTTTTTGCATCCCTGAAACCCTCAAATCCCAAAAACACCCTAAGTCAGGAGTTGGGCTTGGGGTGAACCAGGCCCTTTCTGCAACAGGCTTGTTCCCAAACCCCACCTTCATCTCTCAGGTTCAGGCGTCTGGAGGATCTCCCGGCATTTCGGGCTTAGGGTTTAGGGTTTGGGGTCTAGGGTTTAGGGTTCCCAAAGTTTAGGCGTACCTGTTTTTTTTTGGGAGGGCTTCCTCTAAGGCTTCGACCCTCACACTCGCACACGCAGACTCTTTTTGTCTCTGGCGCTTCGCTGCAGCACCTTGCTGGAAACAGATAACAGAAGGCCGACTACCTTCAACGCAGGAGATGCACGTTGGTAAACCCTAAAACTTGCAGTAGCTTCTGAAACCCTCACCTTCAGCAGCTGGAACTTGAAGTTAAAACATCCCAGAAGTCGTCCCTCCGATCCCGCTCACACGGCCGCAGATGGTGCATTATAGGGGCCTAAAGGGGGCCTAACGATACCCCAGGCAACTGGGGCCCCAAAGCAGATACCTTACCTACACACACATGTATACTATATATATATACATATATATATGTTTATATCTAAATTTATACATACATGTTTTGTCTGTGTGCATTTTACATTCTGCAATCGTCTGTATTCAGACGTTCTCATTGTTTAGTTATGTAGCATAGGCATGTTGTGTTTCTAGATTTTACTGCATGGGCACGTGGCCACGTCGCTAAATCATGGTTTCTCCTTGTGGGCATTTGAGTGAGGGCCGCATCATGCAACCCACGTGCCAACAAGAGTGGAATGCATTTGGTTTTGGGCACATAGGGTGTAGGGATGGCTCGTTCTAAGATTCTGGGGTCTTAGGTTTAGGGCTGGGCCCCCGTTTTTGCTGAATTCCAGCTGCTGGCGAGGACACCTGCGGCAGAGATGATGGGGTGGAGTTTTGGGCGGGGCTCATGTCTCACGTCTGTCTTTCGAGGGCTGGAGGCCCTCTCACTAAACCCTGCACACTAAACCCTAAACCCTTTTGGGGTTGCACGGATGCCTGTCTCTTCGATGGGCCGATGGAGTTCGGGGTTCGGGTTGGAGCTGTGGGTTATTGGGGGACCAGACGAATTGAGGTTACTACTAACAACCCCCGTTAAGGTATGTGACTATTGAAAATAGTAGATTAAGGTATATGCCTATTGAATATAGTAGATTAAGGTATATGCCTCTTGAATATAGTAGATTAAGGTATATGCCTCTTGAATATAGTAGATTAAGGTATATGCCTCTTGAATATAGTAGATTTCAAGGTATATTACGATTAACTATAGTAGATGAAGGTACATTACTATTACATGTAGTAGAGTGTGAACTCTACACCCTTTTTTGGGGTTCATGTGGTCTTCAAGGTTTAGGGCCCCCACCTCCGTTCACCCTAAACCCTAAACCCTAAACCCTAAACCCTAAATCCTAAACCCCAAACCCTAAACCCTAAACCCCTAACCCTAATCCGCAAACAGCCGTGACGAGCCTCAGCTTGCGCCACAGCAGCGGGTTGAGAGGCGACCCAGAAACGCGCCACAGCTGGCCTGCTAAAGGGGTTTAGGGTTTAGGGTTTAGGGGTTTAGGGGTTTAGGGGTTTAGGGGTTTAGGGGTTTAGGGGTTTAGGGGTTTAGGGGTTTAGGGGTTTAGGGGTTTGTCTTAGGGTCGAAACCCCTCCCCCCAAAATTTGACCCCCCTACCCCCCCTGATATTAAATACCCCCGCATTGTAGTTCTTTTCTGGTAATCATGGTATATGGTTAGGGGGTAGGGGGGGGTCTAGTATTGGGGGGAGGGGATTAGGATGATTTAATTTAGATTCCCTCGTAACCTCTGTCTGGTGTAATGCGGTGCACAGAGGGTCCGAACTGACTTAAACAGAGGCATAATTAAGACGCTCTTGTCGCGCCCCTACAGTCCTGGTTCTGATGGGGCGAAAAAAAACGGTTGTTCAGCGGTAAATGGGTTGAATGGGAGCGCTAACGTCAACAAAGGTCAGCACTCTTCAAGGTTTAGGGCTTAGGGCGTGTGGTTTAAAAAGCCCGAAAACCCAAAATCTATAGTTTGGGAAATCCACCAACGCAATCCGTTAAGCCATGAAACACAGGCGCACTTCTACCTTTTTGTCTCAGAGGGCTTGAGTGCGATAGGTGCAACATACATGAAGGCAAAAGTGGCAAGGAGGTCCGAATATAAAATACACCCCCCTCGTCGAAGCGTGAAATGCTGAGGCGCTGTCAACGAAGCCACGGCGAACACAGTTTGTGCCGCATTGCCTTTTCTACTGCATGTTCAGAGCACTGTAGCCCGAGGTGTGAATTCCGAAAGCACACCGCCGATCACCGCGCACCGACTTCAAAAATATTCCGGCCAGCCCTAAGAGGCGGCGTATTCTTTGTTTGGTTCCGTTTGCTGGAACGTCGGCGGGGATACAGACACGGTATGAGCAAACACAGCAAAACACAACGCATGCCGCAAAAGAGGAAAACATGGCGATGGCAAACGTGTTGTGCAAACGCAAAATGTGGAAAATTACCACCTGCGGCTATGATCATAGCGCCATGGAGTGTGGCGATCTTGCTGCCAGCTGCTCCAGTCACTTTCAGACCATCGATTCTCAGAGCGCCAGTCTCCCGACCACCAAGTTCCGTGGTCAGACCAGCCCCACGTTGAGGACGACCATACATCGGCCTCCTCATGGCGAGGGGCGTTGCGCTCCTGCTGCCGGGCACGACGTTCATCCGCGAGCCTTTGTGCTGCACGTGAGGCCTCGGCGTCATCTTTCATCTGGCCAACCAATGTTCTCGCTGCGGAATGGTTGTCACGAACCACCGCCTTCAGGAAGACCTTGATGTCGCCGGCCTCAGTCGCATGTGGGAGCTCAATGGTGCCTTCGCAGAAGGTAAGGATATGGCTCACCCCCCTCGTAAAGAAGGCGACGCGAGAGAAATCCTCAACACCATAGAAGCTACCAAGCCAGGCAAAACCGATGGGCTCCTCCTGGTCATTCGACAATAATCCGGCCTGGATGAGATCACCGGCGGGCTTGTCGAAGTACACCATGCGGCAAAGTGCCGTGTGGTCCACTTGGCTTGCTTCCAAACGACGGCTCGATCCGTAACCCAATGCTCTCTGTTCACGATTGCGGCCAGGATTCGGGAGATAAGCGAAAGCAACGCACTCCTGAATTGACAACAACCGGCGTGTCCATCCATTTCGGACCGCGTAAATGGCATAGTTGTGGTCAGAATCGAACTTGTCGAGCATGCCAGAGTGTCCTTGGCCGCGGAAGTGCTTGAGGCTTTGCTTTGCTTGAGCAATAGCCTTTCCATCGACAGACTGAGCGCCGCGGTTGTCGTGCTGTCCTGAGCCCCGGCGTACCTGGTCAGCCGTCAGCTGCCAGAGCCGGTAGCCAGTTTCCTGGGCGATCTGGTCGAGGACGTCGTTGCGCTTGCGGCTCATAAACATGCGGAACGTTGACTGCCTGCTTCCTTTGGTCAAGAAGCAGCCACAATGGAAGCAACGATGCTGCCCTTCCAAACGCAGGTTGCCGCAATGATCGCACTGGATGCGGGTCAGGCTCCCGGCGCGCTGAGTACCAGCCGCTTGACCAGAGGATGCTGCACCAACATCTGCATCGCCACCAGCGACGATCTCGATATATCCAGCAGTCGACCTAGTAGGCGAAATCTCCTGGATGTCAATGTCGGTGTTGAACGTCACCCTCGGGCCTTCGGGAACATCTTCGTCTGTACCCAAAGCATCCGCCGCAACTGGGAGCTCGACCTTGATGATTGGCTTGATCGCAACGTCTTCAGGCTCCTCGTCCTCGAGCTCGTAGATGACCTCCACGGTATCTTGTGGTTCGTCTCCACCGGCGGGAAGAGTAAAACCCAGATTGAGGGGCATCAGTTTCCTCGACTCTGCTCCAGATGACGGTGTCAGACGCCGTGTCCCGTATGTACAGCACGCAGCCGCCAGGGACCGACTGACTGGAGAGCACACCTTCTGATCTGGAGTAAAAGAGCCCCACGCCAAGTCGGAGAGCCTCATGTGTGTCAACCACAAGCTCGAAAGGTCGATCGGCACGTACACCAGCACGATTTTCGTGATGTCCGACTTCGCGATCAGAAAAATACACATGAGCGTTGGCTGTTCGGTAGCCGGGATAGAAGGCTGATTGCACAATCTTGAAGGCGCGGTCCTTGAATGTTCTGTGGTAGAGACGTTTGGGAGTCTCTTCCCAGCAAAGGACCGGCCTACCTTCGAAGGTGGCGTCGTGGTCACTCATCTCATTCTTCGGGATGCACGACAGCCAGCAGTCGCAAATTTGCTCGCCGGACGCAGTCTCCATCAAACCTTTTGAATGCCCCTGCCTAGCCCGTATAAGCACAGGGTATCCGGCCAGACCATAGTAGTCGGCGAGTTGATGGTTTCTGTCGGCCTTGAGCTCAAAGCGACCCTTGTTGTCGTTCTTCACCATGGACAACAAGATGCCAAGACCGTAGCTGGTGCCGCAATCATAGTTCACACGATCGAGAACATCACGGGTCCGACACCAAAGCTCCGAGTCGTGCATGTCGTCGTAGATTTTGCCCCTAACGACCCCGGTCACATAATTCCGAGTCCCACGCGGAATTGGCACAGTGGAAAAATTGGGGAGATCCTCAGGGGACAGGATCACCCAGTCGGCCTCATCATCAGATGGGCGTTGTGCGATCGTGTCCCAATCAAGGCCCAACATGTCGACGAGCTGGAAGTCATCGGACACCCTGAGGTATCCTGTGGGGATAACTTCGTCGCCGCTTCCACTGGTCTTCGCCTTCTTCGGCTGTGATGGCCCAATCTCTGCGGCTGCGGCTGTAGAAGATGCAGACGATGCTTTGTCGAACACCTCGCCGCGCCCAAGCAAACGTTGCTTGGTTGCCTCAGGGTACCGGTTTGTTGCAGCCCGCGATGCAGCGATGACGGCCTCCCCAGGGCGGGGGGCGTTGTCGACTGCTTCTTGCTGGCTAGCCTCGAATTGGGACCTTGGGACGTATTCGCCGCTTTCCAATCGGACCATGTTGGGGAACTCGCGGTCCTGCAGGCGGATTGGTGCCCCAGATGGGAAGCTCTCCGCCGGGCCATCAAAATAGACGTCGTCCCACGGATCGGCCTCGACCAGTGGCTGGTAGACCTCTCTTGCCCTCGTCCTCTGCAGCCTCTTGAAGATCTGGTCGTCAATCTGCGCGCCCACGGCGAACCGAGCATTCGGTCGCGGGACGTGCTGGTAATTCACCAGTGTGCGATCCAGGTCCTCAGTGCGGAAAAACGAGCATTGATGGCGCAGCACCATGATTCGAGCCGTGGCTCCAATCCACCGAAGCAGTTGCCGTCGATGATTGGTGTCCTCAAGGAAGTGATATGAGTCGTACTTCCTGATTTGGGTTGCAGGCACATTGAAGTTTTTCACGGCCAGCCCCATCTGGGCGGCATAGTCAAGGATCTCCTCCATCAAAGTGCCCCACTCTCTCGGGAGAAAGTAGGCCTTGTGGTCCGTCGCAGAGGTGAGGAGGACGGTACCAACGTGGGGGCGCTTCTGGAGTTCCTTGAGCTTGTGCAACTCACGCAGAATTTTGGGGCCTATGAAGCTCCACTGTCCTTGCGCGACATGCGGCTTTCCCCTCCAATGCTCTGTTGAAGGTTTATAGTTCGGATCCAAGAACAGCCCCTTTTCGCCCACAAGTTCATTTGCGTTCCAGACGATCATCACATCCACCGACAAGGTCTTGTCGATTGCACCAGCCCTCTCCCACATGTTGATCTTGTCAACGGCGAGCTGTACCAGCCGCGTGAGATTGGACCCCCATGACGGGATGTACTCGACTCCTTGAAAGTCGGGAAACACATTGGTGCGGTTGACAGTGATGTCGGCGAGCAAATCGGTCTTGTAGTTCCCCTCAGTCAGGAAAGTGGTAGACGAGTCAGCAACGATGATCAATGAGCGCAAGCGGCCACGAATGTGTTCGGGCTGGAGCATGGCAAGGCCTTGATCACTAAGTAAGCCGACTTTTGCCACATTCCCGCATTCCGCGGGGTTCTTGAAGGCAAATTCACAAAGTACAGGACGCGGCACATATTTGTAAAACTCGTTCACGGCGTGCTCGCCGTCCTCCAGTGCTGCCATGGTCCGATATTCCGAACAAAGAGCGGTCTCAGTGAGACGACGTGCCCACCAGCTGAAAAGCACCTCCGTTGGTGCAACGATGCCAGCGGTGGTTCGCTCCATGTTCGGCGAGCAGTGGACTGCCGCGATGGCGCAGCAGGCAACTAAGGTGTTTGTAGTCTCGAAATCACACGTGCTAGTTTCGGTGCGAGTTTGCGACAACGTGTTGATAGCACATGCGGAATGTTTCGAAAGACTGTCACAAAACACTTTCCAGTCATGGTGAATGCAATCAGTCATGACGTAGGTGTAGCTCTCAGAGTTCCTAAGGTCCTTGCCCCTAGACTCTCCATGTTTGTGATTGTGGTCACACCTATGAGCTGCCAGCCGCTGCATTGGAACAGAAGATGCAACGATCCATGCCTTCCTTAGTGGGAGTCCTTGGTGATCCAAGATCCCTAGCATGCATCCGTCGCAACGATACAGCTCAAGATCGTAATCCTGAATCAGCTTTTGCACTTCACCCCACTTCCAATAATCACACTCTTTCGGGAGCTCAAAAGCAACCTGTGGTTTGAAAGTTTTCATTCTGCGCAAGAGAGACTTAAGCTGTTTCAACAGTTCAATGAACAAGCTTTGGTGTTGCTGCCATTTGGGGCTGTTAGGAGTCATTCTGTTCCACGGACAACCACCCGTACACGGAAGCGACGCAAACACGAGAATCGGCTTAAATGCTCCCCCCTCGTCGCAGAGGGCATGGATTTGGGAAACAACCGACTTCAGCGTAGAGTCCTTGAGGGCGTTTTGTTGGTCCGTAACACGAATGATCTTACAACCCTGAGCAGCCGGACGCGCTTGACCCAAGCGACTATCGGGCGAACAACAAAACTCAACGATGATTCGTTTGCAGCCCGACGGCCTCGAGAGATCTCGGGCAGGCGAAGCGGTGACGGCCGGCGCAGGCAGCCTGAAGTGGAGTTCTTTGAGTTTGTCTGTCTCGTCACTAGCAAGTGATTCTTGCGAGCGCGAGGAGTAAGCGACAATGGAAAAACGGGTTCCTGTAAAAGGCAAAACGCAGTGTAAGTTCCGGGGGTTAAAGACGAGAGCTTTGTTGTGTGTGGACACAGCACGACCTTTAAGGCGCGTACCGTTGGGGCCAACTCTGACAATGGCACTATCAGATGAAACACTGGGGTCCTCCAACCACAACTCTCCACCTTTAAAATCCCCAACACTGATTGCGAAGCTCATGCTGTCCTTAGCATTCCCATGGTCCTTGTGCACAGAGGCACCAGTGCTGCTGCTGAGCAACACGGAATTCCAGGTGAAGTCTTGCGGAGCATGTGCTCGCACTACGCCGTTTAGGAACCTGGCAATCTGAGGCCACCGGCGGGTCGCCTTGGTCACCCCTTGCATGCCCCCGTAAGTCCATTGCCCAAAGATGTGGTAGTAGCTGCGATTATCAAGCTTAATCATCTTTCGCTTGGTTTTGTTGGGATACATGAATTGGGCAACGCGCAACAAAGCCTTAGTACTAAAGTCGCGTTCCTTGTTGAGCTCTTCTGCGATCGCACAAGGGTCGTTCAGCGGCTGCACCACAGGGTGAGCGTGAACGACTGGCTTGTTGATGAGATGAGCATCGGACTCGTGTGCCTTAGACTGGCGCCCCCCCTGAAGTGGGGCATCAACGTGCGCGATGAGCCTGAGTGCATGTTCCCATTTACCTCGGTCAGCGAAAGGTTTAGTAAAGATATCAGCTACTTGCTCCTTGGTGTCAACATTAATCATGTCGAAAAAGTTACGCTCGAATTGTTGTTTGATCCAGGCGAACGAAATGCGCTGAGTCCGGTCGGTGTGTCGTAGTTTTTCGCTGTCACCTTTGAGGAGGATAGTTATGGTAGCTTGGTTGTCCTCAAGGAGTTGAACGGCAAACTTGGGACTAAGATGAACCCTGAGGCCGTTTAAATCAGAAACGCTTCGTCCATCCGCCCTGCACTCGCCATACCGGATCTCATCAAGTTCAGGATCAATTCGTGCGATGATGTCGTCTTCCCTTTGATTAGGCTTGGTTTTCGGCCTAGCTTGGTAGCTGGCGGTCCTACTCGCAACCTCACGCCACAGGAAAATCCAAAGACTGAGGCTGGGCAGACCTTGGGCACGAATACCTTGGTTGGCAGCCACAACCTCACTCTCCGTGCTTGAAGTGGTGATGCTGGTCTGTTTCTTGGAAAAAGCATTTAGGGGAAAGTAAGTGTTGGGGCCTACCAAGTAAAGGGCACAGCCTGAAGTGGATTTACTGTCGTGGCTACCAGCGTGGTCAGCATCGCAGAACATCCACAACTTACAATCCTGAATGCGATCCCCAATGAATCCCCTCATCCGAACTTCAAGAGAAGAGTTTATGTAACTGATCAACCTGTGCAAAGCAACGTCACAGTCGCGAGACCACTTGGTGACTCTGGACGCAAGTGCCTGAGTGGCGCGTAACAAGTCCCACCTGGCCATTCTCGCAGCGAACAAAACCTTCATGAGTACACGGCTCGCAATGGATTGCAGCTTACCACTAGGTTCGTTGCTCTCCAAAACCTTTGCTACTCGATTCTCATGGAAAGGGGTCGCTACGTGTTTCAGGGATTTCTTGTCAACCTTGGCCAACTCACAGTACCTATCAACACAGGACACCAAGAAATCTCGCATGTCGTAGTACACAACGTTCACGGGCACAGTCATGGAAGGGGTTTTTCCCTGGCTGATAGATTCAGTGCTCTTGAACTTACTCTGTCGTGCTTCTCGTTTAGCTTCGGCTTTGGACCGCTTGGGTTTATAGCGCTTAGCTGCGAGAGCGTGAGAGAAGTCCTCGTCACTGACCTCAGCGATAGGGAAATATGTTTTCCCAGTCCACCAACCTGATTGGTCCGCGGGGCCCCCCTGCTTCAAGTCATCATGGATAGGGTCCCTACCATCATCAAACACCGTGATTCGTTGACAGCTTATGTGGGGAAACTTCGACACGTCGTCCTGATAAAGTTTCCTACGGGGATAGATGTGATGCCTAACGACTGCAGCTAACTCAGCATCGACCTCCCAAAAGTCCTCTTTGCGATTCGGCCGGACTTGGTAGTCGGCAGCTGGGCTAGCGTGCTTCTTGTCGAAGACGTAGGCGAATGGGTGGTCCTCCCGTGAAAGCTGGACCTGATTTTGCTCGACGTGATGACACCCGAAGTACCGTCCCAAGACCTCGGCTGGTTCCATGTCAATCACCTTAGCGATCAACTCCCAACCCTTGTTGATTTTGTCTTGGGGGCCGGCCATCTTGAAGTCATCAACGTATACAACAAGCAACAAATCTAGTTCAGCATGGTAGAATACAGAATGCCAAATGTCGGGTAGAACTGCAGTAAAACCAACACTCTCTAACTGTTCGGTACAGTACCTTTCCCAGACACCGCCTGAGTCAGGGTGGCCGTACAAAGCGAGCCTGAGTGGGCAAACAGGATCTTCATACCCAGACCATTCTTTTGGCCATCTGTTTCGAGGAAGACGGACCCACGTTTCGATGCCTTTAAAAAGGGCTTGTGTATATGCAGCAATGCCATCAGCCTGCTGTTTCACGTACCCGGGTTGGCTACCAAACACATCGATGATTTTCCCGGCCTCCATACTAGCGGGGCTTGAACCTAGTTCGGCGAAAATGGCGTGATCGTGGTTTTCGTCCTGGACGTTGTTGCCCTGGAAAACGCTACGACCCTTCCATTTCTTCTGGGGGTGCCCGTCCGGGAGTTCATCCCCCTTGACCGAGCAAATCTCAAAGACTTTCCCGAAATGGGCCTTGACATTCTTGTGTTTGGCTTCAGCTGCAACATCCCGGTACTCTCGAACCTTCTTTTCGAGCCAGCAAGACTTATCGGCAAGCTTCTTCCATTCTCGGTCCATGGCTTCTTTAGCAGCGGGAGTACTTTCGATCTCTTTAGGCCCGACAACCCTGGCAACCATAGCAAACATCTCACTCGCAACCTGACCAAGCTTGGCCCAGTACAAAGACGCCATGCGATCTCTATGGGGCTCAGGATCAGGTTCGGTGACGACAGGCATGGCCGGGGAATCTCTAAGGGCCTTGCGAGCATCCTCCTCGGCTTCACGAGCCTTCTTACGTTCGAATCTTTCAATGTCAGCCTCCCGTTGTGCCTTGGAATACATGTGCCAAAATTCCGAAGGGGTATCGGGTGGCCTTTTGGAACCTTTCTTATCCCTAACCAATCTCACCCCGTCCCAGTTGTACCCTTTTGGGACTTTCCTCCCATCAGGCATGGTCTTGGGGTCATGTCTTGGTAGGGTAGATGAGGCCTCGGGCCCGGTCGTTGCTTCTATAGAAGATCCAGGAGCATCCCCCCCCAGCCAGTCCTCCACAGCTCCGACATCTTCAGGAACATAGTCCTCGTTTTCCTTAGCCACTTGGTCCAAGTACTCGGACAAACGATCCTTCAAATCGGAGCCGTCCAAATCAGGCACACCGGGCGGAGGCAAAGGCTCGTCCGGCGAATCCCCAGGCGGGGCGCGTGGTCCGGCACCATCTGTGCCTCCCCACGAGCAGTCCTGATCTGAGAGGGCCGGCTTGCGGAGGCTCTCCTGCAGTGCAAGCTGCTCCGACCTCATTGGGAACGTAAAGCCCCCAGGCAACAACTCCATCCGCTTGGACCTCAGAATGGGGAAGTTTCCAATCTCGAACGCGAAGTCGCAGCCCTTGACAGGAGTGACAAGATATTCCTCCTTCCAAATGAAGCCAGGCTGAATGTGATAACCAAGAAAGATTCCCTCAACACCAGTCGGCGCAAACTTAGAGTCCGCAGGAATGTTCTGTTTGGGGTTGTTCCAGTACAACACACGTGCACCAAAAGGAATCATTAACCCTAAAAAGGGTTCCCCATACCTGGCCTCCCAGGGAACAATCCCATTGTCAAACCTCTTAGTGGCGTTGAGGGCCATAGCGTGGTGTTGGGCGGCCAACGGCCAAAGCTTGTCGGGGAGACCCGCCTGAACAAGGTTGGAGCGGGTACCCTCCAAAATCGTCCGAATTTCTCTTTCGATTACCGACTTGTTGGTGTCCACATATTCGCGGGATGTAACATGTCGAACACCCAGGCTTTTGATAGCTGCATGAAGCTCAGGTGCGTTGTCGGAGTAGAAAACCCCAACTGTGTCTTCTTGACCTAGGAAATGAAGAAGGTCTTCATAACACTGATCGCTTGACTTAGTCGGAGAGGGGTAGACGTACCGAAATTTGGTGAACACGTCCTTAACAACAAGTGCGACCCTTTCGTCCTGGAACCCATGATCACGAAGGTCACGAGTGATGATATGGTCAACAGTGATGTGGTCCCCAAAGGCCTTTGACACAATGGTACTTGAGCCCCCCTTTTTGCGGGCTTGGGGAGCCAACATCTTTGCGCGCTGACATACCTCGCAGAACGGATTCTTGGGCCTGTGCGAGAACAAGTGCTCAACAGATTTGGCTTCAGCTTTCAGATCGGCCTCTGCAAGACTGCGGGCGTTTCCTTCGTTGTCACTGTCAGGTTCAACATCGGGGTCTTCGAAGATAGTGAGGCTCAGGATTGGGTTACCCTCCAGTCGGGCAACTTTGTTGTCAAGCTCCCTGACGTTCACTTTACCCTCAACCTTGACCCAAGAACCTTCCCTGAACAACCAAGTAGATCTGACTTCGCATCTTGGAAACCTTGGTGTGGCAGTACGAAACGTCTTTGGTTTGTGTCCGACAATCAAGTACTTAGCATTTGGGTGCGAAACCCAACCTGGTCTTTTGAGCTTTTCTTTGGGAATGTCTATTGGCGGCACCTCATTGATGGCTGCTGAGATCTCAGGATCGGGGTGCTCGACCACTGGATCTCGGTCCTCTGCTGCTCCTGCGAAAGCCTCGGCCGGCCCTATTGGGCGGCAGATTTCTGAAAACCCTCGGACAGAATTGGCCGTCCGAGAGATCCTGAGGCTTCTTCGTTGGTACTTGGGGCGGCCATTGCTCCTCCCCCAAGGACAGGCACCATACCTCTCATTCTACACCTTAGTCTTTGACCATTGGGCGCAACGAAGTAGGGCGGCTTTTTGGGGTACCAATGGAACTCATAACCGTCCTCCATGCACCTTCTTCCAACAGAGCAAACAGGAGGAGTACTTGCGAGAACGTAGAACTCTAACTCTTTGCCAAACTCCGGGAAGTCGATCCTGACCGATTTGTCACCCTTGACATTTCCGTTAGCAGTGATGAGGTTTACTTGTCGAGTAGCATTGCCTATCGGCTCTTCGCCAAAGTACATAGCACGATCAGCTTCGCTGATGAGGTCCTCCTCGCTCCCCGTATCAGCAAGGAATTCTAAGGGCGTGGCGATTCCTGGACAGGCGATCTCTGAGCTCTCAACGACGTGCTTGCACATCCCACACATGAGAGAATCAGGCTCATCACATTCTAAACGGCAGTCGGTTCTCTCTCCCCCCTCATGCCGGGCAAGGAGCATAGTGAGTTCCCTTGCGTTCCTAATTGCAACCTGAAGGTCATTGTTGTCAGGTTTGGGGCAATTTTCCGCATCGGCATAGCAAGTGTTGTACCTGCGAACTTTGTAGGAATGCTTGTACCCCTTCCCTTCAAAAGGAATTTCCCTGACTTTGGGCTTTTCACAAAACTTGACCTTCTTGTTTTGTTCTTTGATTTTGAACACAGTCTTGCCAGTCCATGGCGTCTTGTCGTTCGTCCCCCCTTTTCCCCCTTTCCAATCCCAACTCTCCTTTGCTGTGTAGGGAGCAACGGGAAGAGTCTTGATCACCTTGGCCGTACCTTTCAACTTTTCAAGAGCAACAGGGCATGACATTTCAGGCTTGTACATAGTACTTCTGTAGTTCAGGTGATGTCGAATTGCTTCACCCCTTTTGAAATCCACTTCCCAGTAGTCCTTCTCTCCATCTTGTGGGTCATCTCCCTCGGGACGGATTGAGGCTGCAGCCGCAATCGAGATGCAGCATGCGGCTCTCCTGTCCTTCTCCTTAGAGCGACCACGGCTTGGCTTTCTGCGCGTTGGCGCAGGCGATGGAGACCTAGGTTTGTCTGGGTCCTTAGGAGCCGGGGCTGCGTTTTCACCACCTGTGGGAGCGGGGCTCGGTTCCCTATGCAAGAAACGGCACTTGTCTCCCCTGGTACATTTGCCTTTCTTCCAAAACGTGCATAACTGCTTCTTCTTCGGGGCGGTGCGAACAGGGGACTGCGAGCGTGGTTTGTGCGAGAACTTGCACTTGTCGCCCCTGGTACACTTACCCTTTTGAAAGTCGTAGCAAACTGGCTTTGGACTTGGTGAACGGCTAGGTGATCTAGACCTGGACGGGGTCCTAGAGCGAGATCTTGACTTCGAGTTGGATTGGCTACCGGCAGAGCGATCTCTTCCCCGGCCACTCCTTGACGGAGGGCGTTGCGGCCTTCCGCCTTCAAGAACAGGAGCTCCAAACTTGTCCCCATGTGACTTAGCGATTCTATCCCTATTCTTGCGCATCCTTTCACGGGTTAGCAAATCCCGAATGGACTTCAACAAGAACGCGTAGGAATGTGAGGCAGAACCTTCCTTGATCATAGATCTCCAAGTCGTATTTCATCCTTGAGGACTTGCGGATTTGGCGGAGAAGGATGTCACGCAGAACCATTTCTTCTGGAACATGACTCATACCGGCAATGACTGACTCCCAATTGTGCAGGAATGTAGTCAAGTCGTCACTATGCAGTGTAACCTTCAAAAGGTCTTCTACTGAATAGAGCGACCCTACTTCTTCATTGGTTTTGAAGTACTGATCAAACATAAGCAACACCTGGCGTCCTCGTACCGCACGTCCATGGACCGCCTCGGTTTCCTTGAAGGTGAGCACCTGTCGAGATAACTCTCCCTTGGCGACCTTGGTAAGCGCGGCTAGGATTTTGGTATCCAGCGTGAGGAACTTTCCTGGTTCACGGAGCTTGTCATGATCAGCATCCTTCGCGTAAACCTCTAAAATCCAAGAGAAAGCTTCGTCTGGTCTGTCTGAGGCTGCCCTAACCGCTTCCCGAGTTGCTGTTTTCCACGCACGATACGTTTCGGGGTTGGGGAAGTCCGGCAAACGGATGTTCTCAGCCTCTTTGACCTTTGGCTTGTCATCTTCGCCGCCTTTGTCTCCCTTGAGGAGTTTGGCGGCTTCCAGCAACGCTTGTTGCGTCTGTGCGATTAAATCAACTCCAGTGGCTGCCGGACTAGCCGGCGTGCCCATTGGGGCCGCGAGACCAGACACTCCTCCACCTAAGCCAGTCGGGGGCACAGGGGTTCCCGGGGCTTGTGTTGGAGCTTGTGGCCCCGCTGGTGTGGCAGTAGTTGCCGCACCACCAAAACCGGAAAACATTGCTCTTAGGCTGAGCGGGATCACGCTTGGCGATGAAAACTGAGGAGCTGTCGGCACATTGAGGCCGGCACTTTGCGGTACCGTTGCTGGGGTCACGGCCGGAGGGAACTGAGCTTGGGACGCAGTGTCCTGAGAAGCATTCCTGTCCTGCTCGAGTTTGAGCGCACGCTCAGCTGAGGAGAGTTCGTCCTGAAGAACATCATTTTGACGCCTCATTTCCTCTTCACTCTCGCGGGCAAGCAACCTATACTGCTGCATTGCTTGGTCATGTTCCCTACCAAACCACTCTCCCACCTCATTGAGGGTTTGTGTTTTGTTCTCCTCTGCTTCTTCGATTAAAGTTGTTCGAAGTTGCGTGATCTGCGAACTAACGCTGGAAAAATGTTCCGTTTGGAAAGCGATGACTTGGTGTTGTTGTCGCAGCTCTGACACGAGATGATGATTGGCTTCGATAAACTGATATCGTTGTGTGGCAATCTCGGATTCGAGCTGTGCAACGATCTCCTCATGCTGTCGATTTGCTCGTTCTTCAACATTAGCGATTCTTTGATCATGAGCATATTCGGCAGCCTGGCGGAACCTCTGGTGTCTGTTTTCTGCTTCAATTTCAAGTTCACCGAGAAGCGATCTGGTTTGTTCCGGAGATTCACCGACCATGATGTTTTGCTGGAAATTCTGTCGATACATGTGCAACTGTGGTGCGAACGGTACGGCCGCAAAAGGAGTTCGGGCGTTTGGCTCAAACACATTAGTGCTTGCTGCGCCCTCTTCCAGTGCACCGTTCGTAGCAACTTGCTCAGAAGCAGTCTGGGGTAGTCCCACAGGAAGCATGTCGTCAGATTCCAGGTCGGTTGCCACTTCGGTGGGAACCAGCTCGGGGCTGTCTCCCATACACCAGTGTTTGCCAGAGTAACCAGAGGCGCCGCAGACTCAGTAGAGCCTACGGCTGATAACCTATAGTTTGGGAAATCCACCAACGCAATCCGTTAAGCCATGAAACACAGGCGCACTTCTACCTTTTTGTCTCAGAGGGCTTGAGTGCGATAGGTGCAACATACATGAAGGCAAAAGTGGCAAGGAGGTCCGAATATAAAATACAAAATCTTACAATCCCAGGCCCGTCGCCCGTCAAACCCAAAATACGATGATCCCAATTATGGGAAAGGGGGACTTCCCACAACAAAATTACCAATTTGGGGAATAAGTTTCAAAAAACGTTTAGGGTAGATTAGGTGTAACGCTATTTTGGGAAGTACCCAGATACAAACCCAAAAAAACTGAAACTAAATCCCACGACAGACAAAGGCTTTGTCTACACCTCCCCCAGCCTCAAACCGAAGTTCTGACACCATCTGACACCTCCAAACCAGAAGCACCCCTGAGCCCGCCACGGGACAACCCCTTTTCGAAGCATGGACTGAGCGGTTTAGGGTTTAGGGTGTAGGGCTAGAGTTCAGGGTTTAGGGTTTAGGGTTTAGGGTTTAGGGTTCAGGGTTCAGAACTATAGCTTGTGGTGTAGCTAAGGGTTTATGGTTTAGGGAACCCTAAAACTGCTAGACGAAGGAGTAGGAATCAAAAAGGGTGCTCTTTGGGGTTTGAAGGGGCTTATAAGGGAAAGCAACCCCCCCCCCCCCCCCCAAAAAAAAAAAGGGAATAAGGGCCTAATTACTCTGGATCCTGGATTATGGTTTAGGGAACCCTAAATTCCCAAAAAAGCTCAGGCCCAAAACCCTGAGCCCTAACTGAAACCCTAAACCCCCAAAAACTTAAACCAAAAACCCTAAAACTCCCCCCCCCCCCCCCCCCCCACCCACCCCTTTGGCCTCAGAGGCCACCTTCTTGGAAGCTGGAGCCTGGGAGTGGTGGAGGGTTGAGGGGTACAAGTAGTATGCTAGGCTGCCCAGTAAACAAGGCTTAAAAAGGGTGCCCTTTTTTGCTTAAAGGGGTTCATAAGGGAACCTGAACCCCCCAAAAAGGGAATAAGGGTACTACTCCTAGTATGTAGCTTTTGTTAGAAGGCTCTGAGAACTCAAGTTGCCCTAAGCCCTTTTTGAACCTGGAAGCTGCTTCATGCCAGGACTGAGTCTTGCCCTAAGCCCTAAATCCCCTAAACCATCTCCCTGTAGGCGTGCTCATGTCGTTTGCGGTCTTTGGAGCAACCTGACGTGAATATCGTAACCTTGAAATTTTGAAGCAACGGGCCCACGCCGGAACCCTTCCGCGTGCCTGCTAAAAATAGGTGGGTTTAGGGTTTAGGGTTTGGGGTTTAGGGTTTAGGGTTGTAAGCCCCCTACCTCAAGATCCCAAAACGTACTTTCTGTAGTTTACCTAAGAATTCTAGACAAAATAAAGGTACGCTTGGGGTTCTTAAGGAAAGCCCGGCTAGGCTAGGGAAGCTTGGGGAGCCTTCGGGAGTAGTGGGGAGTGTTAGGGAACCCTACATGCCCTAAATCATAAACCCTAGACCCTAAAGCACCCCTGGAACCCCGCTCCCTTAAGGAATCTCAAGGACCCTATAAACAGACCCCCGGACAATTTTCAGGATCAAGGAGGGCAATTAAAAACCACAAGTAACAACGGGCACCCTGAACTACCACTTGCTTAAGAGCCCCCGAAAAATGAAGAAAAACAAATTACCATTAGAATTGCGGAAAGAATCTGCTTCAGAACCCCTAAAAATGTAGAAAGCAAGTTGCCATTACCTTTCTAACTAGGGAAGAATCTACATATTTTTTGGGGGCGTTCTTAAGGAAACAGTAGTAAACCCTTTCGAGGGCTTTCGGTTGCCCCCCGAGCTCGAAGCCTCGGCTCCGGAGAGCACCTGGGATGGCATCAGCTTCTAGGGTTTAGGGGTTGTAGGGTGTTAGGGTGTTAGGGTGTTAGGGTTTGAGGGTTCTAGGGTTTTAGGGTTTTAGGGTTTTAGGGTTCTACGGTTCTAGGGTTTGAGGGTTTAAGGGTTTAAGGGTTTTAGGGTTTAGGGTTCTAGGGTTTAGGGTTTTAGGGAAGTTTTAGGGTTTAAGGGTTTAAGGGTTTAAGGGATTTTAGGGCTTCAGGCATTTTAGGATTTTAGGGTTTAGGGTTCGAGGACCCTCAGACACAAAGTTAGAAGGCAGGGAAGTACATTAGGCTAGACTGGCTATTGAAGCGAGTGCATGCCAAAGCCGCAGAGCCTGCACCCCAAAACTCCCTAAACCCTAAACACCTCCAAAAGCACCGAACTCATACCGCTTCATCCATGCGTATCATGCGCTGCGCCCAGCAGGCTCAAGGAAGTCAGAGACCCTCTGCCTCAAGCACATCTTGAATCCCGATAGGACTGAGGGTTTAGGGTTTAGGGGTTTAGTGTGCTTGTGACAGGGCACTGCTGGCGAGGACGGCGACGCCAGCAGTGCCTTTCGCTTGGTTCGGGTGCGCAAATTGCAGCTTTCTGGTCACGAGCTTACCGTCATCAATGGCACACATCTTCCAGGATACTTCGCAGGGTTGGAGATTACAGAATGACAAGGGAGAAGCTGGTTGGAAAGCTCTTTCTACACTTGTCATGCACGCAAAGGCACTGAGGGGGCACACCACTGGACGCCAAACCCCAAACCTCCTGGGCTGCATGACCTGTTCAGCAGCTAGGTACCTGCTTCAATCGCTCGTCGCTCAACCTGCAAATTGACTGCCCAGAAACAGAAGTCAGAGACACTCGCACGCAAACAAACACAAACACAAGCACATGTATGCGACCTTTTTGAAGACATGTTGTTACATCTTGTTGCGCAGTGGCTACCTTTGAAAACGAACACGCGCACATAGAGAAAGGGAAAAAAGAAGGAGAAAGACAGAGAGGGAGAGAGACTAACACACAAAGACACAGACAAACATGCAAGCAAACGTGCCGAGACATCCAGGGCACTTGGCCACCGACTCGTGCACAGGGCAAAAAACCTTTAGTCGGGAATTCGCCACCTTATCTCCCCCATGTAGTCCGTTAAATGGCGCGAATCTGTTACATAGTAGAGCACAGTGAAACCACTGTAACAAGAATCCGTTGTGCAAGAAACTACTATTCTAGGGGTCGGAATAAGTACTAATACCATTCCCTCATGGTCCCTTTATACCTATACTATAATCACCCCGAAAACCCTGTTCTAATTTACGAAAGCCCTTGATATACCAAACCCTAAACCCTCACCCTAAACCCTAAACCCTAAGCCCCAAACCAAAAACCCTATTCGTATTACTTAGACCAATCGAACCGAACATTTTCCTGGCCTTTGTGGATGCGGGGGTTGCGGCCGCGGGCGCAGGGAGGACCTCAAGCAGGCAGCTTTCTGGAACGTTTAGGGTTTAGGGTTGAGGACTTAGGGTTTAGGGCTAGGCTTTAGGGCGGAATCGGACACACTCTGTCCCAGAGTCTTGCAGTAAAGCCCGTCTCTCTGGGCGCTGGTGATATTTCACAACTCCCTACAAGGAGGGACCCCCTTACTGTACTAACTGTAGTTAAGGGACTTATAACCTAATTTAGGATCCTTATAACCCAAATTTAGGGTTCTTATAACTCTACTTATAACTAGGGGGCCCCTCCTTGTACCTCTTGCAGTATACTCCGGGTGATACCAACTGTCGTATCCCCCGCCGCATGGGCGCAAGCTCCCTCCCTCTTAGTCCTGCTCTTCGCTATTTGCAGCTCACCATGGCACCCGCATCCTCTTCCCGAGCAGACGCATCACCATGTCTGCTAGTCTTATTCGGCTACTTCCCTTTAGCCTGGTTCCTCCACCCCATCTTTCGGGCCATCGCAAGCCCTTCCACCTCCAGGAATACTGACAGGCTTGTTGCTGAGCTGCATTGTGTCATGCCCGTCTCAAACTCAAGGTTTAGGCTTTTAGGGTTTAAGGTTCAGGGTTTTCGGGTTTAAGGTCTAGGGTTTCAGGGTTTAAGGTAACATTCGTCATGCAGCCTTCCACCATTCTCATCCCCTATCATGCGTGCCGCCGTGCAGACTGGCCTTGCATTTTGGCCAGTCTGCACGGCTGCATGATGGGGGCTGGGGTTTAGGGTTTAGGGTTTAGGTTTAGGGTTTAGGGTTAGCCAGTAATTAAGCCCCAACAGCCTGTGCAGTCCTAAGACCTACACCAACAAAGCGTCAGGCCCTCCAGGTTAGGACACATGCCCTCGCTCAAATTCACAGGGCCGCAGCATTCGGGTTTACGGCCTCTAAACTTGCTATAGGGGGGGGGAGGGGGGGGGGGTATAGGGTTTTGGGTGGTATTTTAGTATATATAGGGACCACAAGGGAATGCTATTAGTGATTATTCCGACCCTACATTGCAGCCCTATCTCTTACTATCTCAGGACTCCAAGACATTGGGCCTTCGCCCTGATGTTCGTCATACCTTAGATAGGCCATAGGGCCATATGAAGTAGGGTTTATATTTCTTGTATCCCCAAAAGGACACCCAAGGCATACACTCACCAATCTTTAAAAAGGAAGCTTATATACACTCACCAGTTACAGTAATATAGACATTGTTTCATATAGGGTTTAGGTGCATTACAAAGCCCTGAACCACACAACCCCTCATCTCTGTAAGGCTTCATCCCGGAACAAGGACAGCCCGCCTTCAATGTTGAGACAACAACAATGCCCTGTGCACCCTAAACTCTAAACCCTAAACCCAGAACCAAAAACCCCTAACCACCCCCCCTCTAACCCCCCCTCCCCTCCCCCGGGCCTGCGCGCGCCGCGCTGCTGACTCGGCGCCGGCAACCTCCGACCCAAGGCTGCGTCAGCTCTGGTTTTTTTTTGCGGGAGGTTCAGGGTACTTATAACCCCAGTTTTAAATGCACTTATAAGCCCCCTAAGTCCTCTAAGTAGATTTTAGGTGGACTTAGAATTGGGG